AGGAAAAACAACCTGGAAAAAGAGGAATTTTATCCCCAAAATCTCTCGATTCCCTGAGGAAAAAGGAATTTTATCCCAAAATCTCTCGATCCCCTGAGGAAAAACAACCTGGAAAAAGAGGAATTTTATCCCCAAAAAATCTCTCGATCCCCTGAGAAAAAAGGAATTTTATCCCCAAAATCTCTCAATCCCCTGAGGAAAAACAACCTGGAAAATGAGGAATTTTATCCCCAAAATCTCTCGATCCCCTGAGAAAAAACAAGCTGGGAAAAGAGGAATTTTATCCCTAAAAATCTCTCGATCCCCTGAGGAAAAACAAGCTGGGAAAAGAGGAATTTTATCCCCAAAATCTCTCAATTCTCTGAGAAAAAAAGGAATTTTATCCCCAAAATCTCTCGATCCCCTGAGGAAAAACAAGCTGGGAAAAGAGGAATTTTATCCCCAAAATCTCTCGATCCCCTGAGAAAAAGGAATTTTATCCCCAAAATCTCTTGATCCCCTGAGAAAAAAGGAATTTTATCCCAAAATCTCTCGATCCCCTGAGAAAAAACGAATTTTATCCCCAAAATCTCTCGATCCCCTGAGGAAAAACAAGCTGGGAAAAGAGGGATTTTATCCCAAAAATCTCTCGATCCCCTGAGAAAAAAGGAATTTTATCCCCAAAATCTCTTGATCCCCTGAGAAAAAAGGAATTTTATCCCCAAAATCTCTCGATCCCCTGAGAAAAAACAAGCTGGGAAAAGAGGAACTTTTTTATCCCAAAAATCTCTTGATTCCCTGAGAAAAAAGGAATTTTATCCCCAAAATCTCTCGATTCCCTGAGAAATCAACCTGGAAAAGGAGGAATTTTATCCCAAAAATCTCTCAATCCCCTGAGAAAAAACAAGCTGGGAAAAGAGGAATTTTATCCCAAAAAATCTCTTGATCCCCTGAGGAAAAAAGGAATTTTATCCCCAAAATCTCTCGATCCCCTGAGAAAAAAGGAATTTTATCCCAAAATCTCTCGATCCCCTGAGGAAAAACAAGCTGGGAAAAGAGGAATTTTATCCCCAAAAATCTCTCGATCCCCTGAGAAAAAAGGAATTTTATCCCAAAAATCTCTCCCTTCCCCAATTCCCCCTCAGGAATTCAAGGCGTTTTTCCCCTCAGGAATTCTGCTTTTAATTCCACCAAAAAAAAACCATGGAAATTACCCATTAAAAAAAAAAGAAGGAATTTTTTTTACCTGTGACTTTATTGGACATTTCCCTGTAAGGAGTTAAATCCTCTCCCTTCACCAGGACGAGCTGAGGGCATTTTTCCTTGGCCTCCCGGATTCCCATCAGCTTCCTAATCCCAAATTTCCTGGCTTCGTAATTACAGGTGACCACCAGGGATTTTTGCTGCACTCCTTGGAAAACCAAAAAAAAGAGGAAAATAAGGTTTAAATCTCATTTTTTTGGGGCGTTTCCCGGGCTCGTCTCCCTCACGACCTCCCATTCCAAAGTGATGCTCCCGGAGGATTTTTTAGGACCCGCCTCTCCACGTTTTCTAATTAATTTAATCCCTCAATTAACGGGGTGGGGAAATTAATTTTAACGAGGGAAAATTAATCTTACCTAAAGGCTTGGTTTTTAAATCGGGATTCCGCAACATTTCCACCTGCGCGTAGAAACAATCCAAGTCCAGGTGCACGATCACCCTGTCCCCTGCGACAGCACAAAACCAGCGATCAACCCTCGGGGTTTTTAAGTTAAGCGTCATCAAATCCCGATGTTTTTGTGGAATTTCGGGGGTTTTTTCACGAGTGGAAAAGGGAAAAGGGAAAATCTCTCCCTCCCCTCAGGGGTCGCGCGCCGATTCCCCTCAGAGCCGGCCGCCATTTTGAGCCCCCTCACCCTGAGGCGCTCGAAGCTCTTCCAGCTCCTCTTCCTCCTCCTCATCATCCCACTCCTCATCATCCCGCTCCTCCATGAATTCCCAACCTTTCCCGGGAATCAGGTTGGGAATAAGCAGAAATAGGAATTTTTTTTTTTAAGGCGGTGCTTAAGTAGTGGGTGGTCCCAGCCGCCCTGCAGCCACGTGATTGCGCCGCGGGGTCCTAGAGCCGGTACTGAGGGAGAGGCAGGCTATAGGGGTTAAAAGGTCAGGATAAAATGCTTTAAGCAGCAAGATGGATTTGGGATAAATTTTGGGATTTGGGATAAATTTTGGGATTTGGGACGACTTTTGGGATTTGGGACAGCTTTGGGGTTTGAGACAGCTTTGGGGATTTTTGGACGCGCCGCGGGGAGAAAATGAGGGGATCGGTTTGTGGATTTAAGGAGCTTTAGGGAGCTGTTGTGGGGTCGAAGTCGATGCTCCTGTGGGGAATCCCACGCGAAGAGCTGTCATGGGGTCCCTCTGTGGGTCCCATTGTGGGGTCTCGCTGTGGATCCCTCTGTGGGGTCCCCCGTGGGTTCAATTTTGGGGTCCCATTAAGGGGCTTCCCTCAGGGATCCCTCTGTGGGGTCTCCCCGTGGGTCCCGTTTTGGGGTCCCCTGGTGGGTTCTGTTTTGGGGTCCCATTAAGGACCTTCACTCCGGGATCCCACTCAGGGTCCCATTTAGGGGTCCGCTCGTGGGTCCGATTTTGGGGGGTCCCCTCGCGTGTCCTATTTTGGGGTGTCATTAAGGATTTCCACGCCGGAATCCCCTCAGAGTCCCGTTCTGGGCTCCTCCCCCGGCCGCCATTTTAGCTCCTCCCCTCAGGGCCCTCCCCGTCCCGTGGGTCCCGTTTAGGGGTCCCATAAACAGACCCCACCCTGCGATCCCACTCAAAGCCCGCGCGTGGGCGCCGTTTTAGGGTCCCATTAAGAAACTCCACTTTTAAATCCCACTTTAAATCCCACTCAAAGATCCTGCTCTGGCCCTCCCTGGCCGCCATTTTAGCTCCTCCTCAGGCCCTCCCCGTCCCGTGGGTCCTGTTTGGAATCCCACAAAGGGCTCCACTCTGCGATCCCCACTCAGAGCCCGCGCGTGGGCACCGTTTTAGGGTCCCATTAAGAAACTCCATTTTTAAATCCCACTTTTAAATCCCACTCAACGATCCCGCTCTGGGCTCCTCCCCCGGCCGCCATTTTGGCTCCTCCCCTCAGGGCCCTCCCCGTCCCGTGGGTCCCGTTTAGGGGTCCCATAAACAGACCCCACCCTGCGATCCCACTCAAAGCCCACGCGTGGGCGCCGTTTTAGGGTCCCATTAAGAAACTCCACTTTTAAATCCCACTTTTAAATCCCACTCAAATATCCCGCTGTGGGCTCCTCCCCTCAGGGCCCTCCCCGTCCCGTGGGTCCCGTTTAGGGGTCCCATAAACAGACCCCACCCTACGATCCCACTCAGGGCCCGCGCGTGGGTTCCGCTTTGCATTAAGCAGCTCCACTCCGAGATTCCACTTTTAAATCCCACTTTTAAATCCCACTCAACGATCCCACTCTGGGCTCCTCCCCCGGCCGCCATTTTGCCTCCCCTCAGGCCCTCCCTGTGCCGTGGGTCCTACAAAGAGGCTCCACTCTGCGATCCCACTCAAAGCTCGCGTGGGCGCTGTTCTAGGTCCCATTAAGAAACTCCACTTTTAAATCCCACTCTTAAATCCCACTTTTAAATCCCACTCAAAGATCCTGCTCTGGCTCCTCCCCGGCCGCCATTTTGCCTCCCTCAGGACCCTCCCCGTCCCGTGGGTCCCACAAAGGGGCTCCACTCCGCGATCCCACGCGTGGGTGCCGTGCTGCGGTCCCATTAAGCAGCCCAATTTTAAATCCCACTTTTAAATCCCACTTTAAATCCACCAAAATCCCACTCAACGATCCTGCCAGCAGGGTCCTCCGGCGGCCGCCATTTTAGTCCTCCAAGCTGGGGCCTCTCCGTCCCTTCCCCTCCCCTCTCTATGGTTCCTTTGGGCACCGCTCCGGCCCTCCCGGAGGTCTCGCTCTCTGTGGTGCAACCGCCATCGCCGCGGGCTCCCGGCCCCGGGGACAATCCCGGGAATTCCCGGAAAAACCTCACCAAACCCACCGGGATAACCCCGAGATAACAACGCCAAACCCATGGAGAAACCGGGCAGGATGGACTGCCCGGCTTTACCGCCGGGTTGGAAGAAAGAAGAGGTGATCCGTAAATCCGGGTTGAGCGCCGGCAAGAGCGATGTGTATTATTTCAGGTACGATGGGAATGGGATCGGGAATGGGATTGGGAATGGGAATTCTGACGGGATAAACCGGCAGCGAGGAACTAGGAAGAGGAGGAAGGAGCCAGCTGTCAGAACGCGGCCGCTTCCGCCATCGCCCCGCGCGCGGGGGGGGCTTGGAATGGGAATGGGAGGCTTGGAATGGGAAATTCCTGGTGTTTGGAAGGACATTCCCGATGTTTGGAATGATGGGGAGCTTGGAGTTTTCCTGCTTTAGGGGCTGCCAGGGGCTGGGGGATCCCGGTCTTCTCATTCCATGGCTTCTTTCCGGTTCCTTGGCAAGGGGGGGATTCCGGTTCCCTGGCTGGGATGATCCCGGTTTTCTGGCTGGGATGATCCCGGTTTTCTGGCTGGGATGATCCCGGTTTTCTGGTACGGGATGATCCCGGTTTTCTGGCTGGGATGATCCCGGTTTTCTGGCTGGGATCATCCCGGTTCCTTGTCTGGGATCATCCCAGTTCCTTGTCTGGGATGATCCCAGTTCCTTGTCTGGGATCATCCCAGTCCATTTCCCAGTCTAATTCCAGTCTGGGATCCTCCCATTTCCCAGTCTGGGATCATCCCAGTTCCTTGTCTGGGATCATCCCAGTTCCCTGTCTGGGATCATCCCAGTTCCTTGTCTGGGATCATCCCAGTCCTCTACCCAGTCTGGGATCATCCCAGTTCCCAGTCTGGGATCATCCCAGTTCCTTGTCTGGGATCATCCCAGTTCCTTGTCTGGGATCATCCCAGTCCTCTGGCCAGTCTGGGATCATCCCAGTTCCTTGTCTGGGATCATCCCAGTCCTCTTCCCAGTCTGGGATCATCCCAGTTCCCAGTCTGGGATCATCCCAGTTCCTTGTCTGGGATGATCCCAGTTCCCTTCCTGGTCCAATCCCAGTCTGGGCTGATCCCAGTTCCTTTTCTGGGATCATCCCAGTTCCTTGTCTGGGATCATCCCAGTCCTCTACCCAGTCTGGGATGATCCCAGTTCCTTGTCTGGGATCATCCCAGTTCCCTGTCTGGGATCATCCCAGTCCCCTTCCTGGTCCAATCCCAGTCTGGGATCATCCCAGTTCCTTGTCTGGGATCATCCCAGTCCAATCCCAGTCTGGGATCATCCCAGTTCCCTCTCTGGGCTGATCCCAGTCCAATCCCAGTCTGGGATCATCCCAGTTCCCCATCTGGGATCATCCCAGTCCAATCCCAGTCTGATCTAATCCCACATCCCCACCTTTCCCTACCCCAGCTCTGCTTCCTGCTTGGAAAACTCCCCCAATTTCCCTCAATCCACTCTCCCAATTTCCCCCCCCATTCCCAATTTTCCCTTCCCAATTTCCCATTCCCAATTTACCCCCCCAATCCTCAATTTACCCCCCCCAATTCCCAATTTACCCCGCTTGGCTCACCCGCAGCTCCTCTATATTTATAGATCCCGTGGATCCACCTGCCAACCACCATCAACCAGCCACCAACCAGCCACCAAGCAGCCATCAGCAATCAATCAGCAACCAACCAACCACCTGCAACCTTCCCTCTTGCCGGAGCCGCCCGGAACAGCCGCAATTCCCGCTTTTTTTTCCCGCTCCTTTCTCGCTCCTTGGGAAAATTGGGAATGTTGGTGGGGGGAGGGGATTCTATCTTTGCTTTGCAACCTTTGGAATTTTCTTGATCCTTAAATCCCTCCTTCCATTCTCCAGGGATTTGTGGTTTGGCTAAAAAAGTGGGGAAAAAAATCAACCCAATCCCAAAAAAAACTCGGATAAAGCTCGGGAGAATTCCAGGATTTCTCTTGGAAAATCAGGATTTATGTTAACCCTGCTTTTAAGGGATTTTGGAACAGCAGGAATATCCCCAAAATATCCTGGAAATCTTGGATTTATCCTCTGGAATTGAGTCTGAAGTGGGGAGGGGGGAAAACGGCTGCCCAAACCCATCCAAAAATCAGGGGAAAAATGGGAATTGCAACCAGGAAAATCCTGGATGAGAAGCTGGATTTTTTGGGGAATTCCCTTTGGGAGAAACCCTCGGCTTTTCCGAGTTTATTTAGGAAGAAATCCCAAATATTCCCTGGGAATTTTTAGGAGATTTTTTTCCCTCTCAGAACTCGGATTTGATACCAGGAATTCCAAAGGGAATTCCAAAAAAAACCCCACAAAATCCCAAACCTTTTGGGAATTCCAACCCCTTTTTTAAGGCTCTCATTCCCGAGGATTCCAAAGGGTCGGATCCTGACGGGAATTCCCGCTGGGATCGGAATTCCCGGCTCGCTTTGCTGCTCCGCTTGGCTGCTCCGCTTCGCCACCACCACCGGAATTCTGGGAATTCCCAACCTTCTCTTAGGTGTGGAAAAGCTGCAAGGGGGGTGGTTGGGAATTCTTGGTAGGATTTGAGGGGTTGGAAAAATTCCTCGGGGTGGGTTGGGATGGGTTGGGGAGGGAAGAGATCCTGGGGGATCCCAAAGGTCAATCCTGGAGGTCTGATCCCAATCCTGGAGCTCTGATCCCAATCCTGGACCTCCAGTCCCAATCCTTCACCTCCAATCCCAGTTTTTCAGCTCCAATCCCAATCCTGGAGCTCTGATCCCAATCCTGGATCTCTGATCCCAATCCTTCACCTCCAATCCCATCCTGGAGCTCTGATCCCAATCCTGGAGCTCTGATCCCAATCCTTGAGCTCTGATCTCAATCCTGGAGCTCTGATCCCAATCCTTCATCTCCAATCCCAATCCTGGAGCTCTGATCCCAATCCTGGAGCTCTGATCCCAGTCCTGGAGCTCTGATCCCAGTCCTTCCCCTCCAATC